ATTGGATACTCCTGGCCCGCAAGAGTATAAACTGTGTACGGCCAAACAAAAGTCAAACACCACCAACGGTATTGTATGTGGTTAAACTGCTAAAATACCTCACCGAAATCTAAGGTGATAAAACATTGGATACTCCTGGCCCGCAAGAGTATAAACTGTGTATGGCCAAACAAAAGTCAAACACCACCAACGGTATTGTATGTGGTTAAACTGCTAAAATATCACACCAAAATCTATGGTGGTAAAACATTGGATACTTCTGGCCCGCAAGAGTATAAACTGTGTATGGCCAAACAAAAGTCAAACACCACCAACGGTATTGTATGTGGTTAAACTGCTAAAATATCACACCAAAATCTATGGTGGTAAAACATTGGATACTTCTGGCCCGCAAGAGTATAAACTGTGTATGGCCAAACAAAAGTCAAACACCACCAACGGTATTGTATGTGGTTAAACTGCTAAAATATCACACCAAAATCTATGGTGGTAAAACATTGGATACTTCTGGCCCGCAAGAGTATAAACTGTGTACGGCCAAAATAAGATAAATCAATGTATTGTATTGAGAAATTTCATATAAACAAATAAATCTATTGTGTATGGCTAAAATAAGATAAATCAATGTATTGTATTGAGAAATTTCATATAAACAAATAAATCTATTGTGTACGGCTAAAATAAGACAAATCAATGTATTGTATTGAGAAATTTCATATAACAAATAAATCTATCATTGAGCGAAATTTCATAAATACATTATGTTCGGATGAATAAAAAAATAAAAGTGCATTCATTCATTAAGAGAAGCCTTAGCCCTTTCAAAAGCACGTTCCACAACACTGTGTTGTCCATTCTTCTTCTTGTGTTGGCTCAAAACATTCAGAGCAATTTGCACGCCTTCTTCTGATTTAGAAACACTCTCGGAAGCTTGTGCAAAATCACACATAAAGGATGCATGTTCCGCTTGGGTGGATGACAATTCCTCTTCAAGTTGTTTGAGTAACTCTTTGGTTTGAATAATCCTTTGATTAAGACCCGCAATGTGCTCATCCGACTTGATAATTGAAGCAGACAATTGTTCATGTTCGCCAGAAACTTTGTCGAAATGAAGTT